GCAACTAAATGGCGATTAAACTAGGTGATTGAAAGCAAAGAACAAGCAAATGAAAAGAAAACTAAATTGAAGGTTGTAAGCAATGAAAGACAAATGTTGGGGCTCAAGGGGTTTCGCAGGGGTTCATGGTCTATGCTAGGTCGATTTTAAACAAGTGATAAAGGTAATCAACTACGTATGTTCTAGAACTCGAGGCACGGAAGTATGAATAGCCTACTTTCGCAGCACTAAACAACTATCTCTCGCAACCCTAATCAGTAGGTTTCCACTCTGATTCTGGAAGGGAGAAGATGCAATAGCAGAACAAGACATCAATATTCAAAACTCAACTACAGGTAGGTTTCCACTCCTATAGAAGAATTGCTCGTTTCACCCTAGTTCAGACAATCAATGAAAGCTTTCGCAACATATCATATCAGATCAGCTTCTAAGTGGCCAGCAAAGAATCACGCAGTAAGATTAAAGGCAAACGAAGAACATCTAGAAGATTAATAATCCTTAATCTATCGATTCATAAGCAAAGACACATGAAATTCCCTTTGAACAATCCCTTTAAACCCAACTGGGTAACTACTCAAACATATTGTAACAAAGCATCATTAACAAAATTGAAGGTGCAGGAAACTAAAGAAAACAGGGAAGAAGAACAAAGAACGGAATCGCAGATGGAGGCACGATGATGCTCTCCTCGACGGCGGCTCCTCCTTCAGGCCTCTCTAGGGTTTGTGAAGCACCCACACGAATTTTCTCTCTATTTTTATCTTATGTCTTCTCCACACCTTTAGGAATGACCTAAAGGAGGTATTTGTAGCTTCTGGGGTGGTTCTGGACACTTAGGGCTTCAAAAATAACGAAAAGAATTGATCTGGGCTTTAGTTAAGTCGTCGGGAAAGTGAGCGACCAAAGTCCGCGGTCGCGGTGGCTCTACCCGCGGGAAAATGGGTGTTGACCGCGGTCCCGGCACTTGCTCTCTTCCGGAACTGCATTTTCTGTCATTCTTGCATCGGGAGTATCTAAAGATCTAACCGTTGGATTGTCTCCAAACCAAGTGCATTAGAAAGCTGGTTGGATCCTCTAAGTTGTCTCAAATATTGGGGGTGATCAGACGGTGAGAAAGTCTTCATCGCTTGTCATACTTCTGACGGTATGCATTTATCCTAAATTGGTCATTTGTTCCAAATTGCATATCTTTTGCCCAAGTTTCCTGTAAAGTCTTTTGAAACTCTAAAACATTGAAAACACTTTAAAAACATTGAAAACAGAGTCAAAACACCTGCATAAGATACAATTATGATCCATAAAAGTGGTCAAAATACGGTGTTATCACCCACCTACATGACTGTAGATTCCAAGATGTATGGTTCAAAAGGGAAAACTAAATCAAATAATATATGACGCACTGAAAGACGTATAGTCTTAACCTAGGTCCCAAGATGATTAACAGTGCTTACATACAATTCTCATTGTATATCTACAAAGGATAAGCATAGCTTTAATGATAAGACCATAACTTTGATATATCACTGAAGTACAACACTTCTTAAAACAAAGACTATTGACAAAATCACCTAGTGAGTGTGAAATGGGGCTGTTTCTAGGAGAATGAAAAAACAACAGGCTATATTCTCCAACTTCACTCATGATTCACCAGGCATGTTCAAAGCCAAAATGAACACAATAGAGAACTTAGTTCTACGAGAAAATGAATCTGAGTTGTATTTGTTGTCTCGGTTTACATCAAAATTCGGGTGGTTCAAGACATCATGTTCACCTCATGGCTGAGTAAGCCTGACAGATATTAACATTGAGTAGTTCAAGGTTGAAACATACTACTATCTCAAATACAATGGAATTTTCGTATATACTCTCGAAAGTCCGTCTAGTCTAATCTAATCAAGTTTTTGAGTCAGTCCGATCGTATGTCTAAAGTTATTTCTATTCATGTGGGAGATTGTTGGACCAAATATTTACAAAGCCCAAAGGCTTTTACATTTGGTGAAGTGTGAATAAAAATAAGCCTTTTAAGGCTAGTTAAAAATATGAGGAATAACTCAAATTCCCACATCCAAGGATTCAGAAAAATAAGAGTCATATAAATATAGACACACACATGACATTTTTCAAAGTGTTGAAGGAGAACCAAGGAACCCTCGCGCGCCGCCGAGCCGAGTTGGGTTTGGGCTTGGGTCTCAGGTCTTGGGTCTTGGTGAATGTGGGGCTTTGGCCCACAAAAGATGTTCTTTTTGGGCCACGTTTTGGTCAACATTTCTGGCCCAAATTGTTAAAGTTTTCGGTTCAAATTCTTACAGAATCACAACATTAAACTGCAGTCAAATATCTATCCCAAAAATTACGCCAAGATTAACGCCCAAATCACGAAATTAACACAAAATTAATCATGTCATTATCACGCTGATTTCTCATCGCTCTACTCTCTCATTTCTCATCGCTCTACTCAAAAAAATTCACAGAGTAAAATCGTTCACACTTTTCTTCAATCTCTCGCGTCTCTTTTTTCTTCTTTCAAGAGTAAGTGTCCGAGAGTATATCGTAGAACTTTAAGTTCGTCACATTCTATAATCGGGTGCTGCGATCATACGAATATCAGTGGTTGTATCCCGGGATTCATTATCTCATCTAACCGCCACACTGCAGGTGATATTTTGAATTAAGGAAAGAGATCATCTCGCCTCCATTTATCTTTTTTCCTTAATCCGCTTTTACAAAACGTTTTTCTGTATCTCAATCGTTTTCTTACATTGCAATATTTGTCTCCTCTAAATTTACTTCATACACTAAATTCTCCTAACAATCTTCTTTTCCACGATAACATCAACTACGAAAATAATTCAATGAACTAAGTTCATCTCATTTTGCAAGATTAAGTTTTATCATATTGGCAGAATTTTTCTAGAAATTATTTTTTTTTTTATAAACTTTATCGACTAATCCGGTTAGCTCTAGTAGAAACTCACCAAAGTGCTATAAAGTGAACTAATTACCTAGGTTCAACTAATACCATGATTTCTAAATGGACTTGGATCAATAATAATGAGATCCATGAGATCCAACAGATTACCATACTATCTATATCACAAGTTTAAAATATTTTTCGACTAATGTTAGGGGGTAACCGAATCATATGTTACCGACTATCATATAAATTGTTTGGATCTTAAACCCAAACCCAAATTTTTACATTAATATATTTTTATTTTAAAATAGATCGAACTCGGATGAAATGGTGTAACATCCCACACAATCCTTCGTACCACTTACCATTAGACCACAATCCTGCAGAATACATGATTGTTAATACTAGAAATCTAATTACAATTAACTAAAAAACTAATTTCTTGGTTTCTATGGGTCATTTATCTTTGTAATTAATGTCTATCTCATCCTGTAACCTTGTTTCACTTAACATTAAGACCAAATTAGGCTATCTAGCTCCATAATTCGATCAGCGACACATAGTTGAAAAAACTTAAATGTCTTTAACGAGAAGAGGGGAAAATCCTGTGAACAAAGCGGTGGAACAATGAAAGCTAAGAGAGTCACGGGACAATATTTACATGTGAACCGAATTAAAAACTCAACCAACCAATCTAATCTCTCCTTGAACCTCTCCACACACATGAAACTGTAGAAAATAGTTTACCCTCCATTTCATCTCTTTGACCAGATATGAGACAGTATCAATCAATGGCATATCATAATACAAATTAGATGGCATGATAAAAAAACTGAAAATGGTGAAAGATTATACCAATAAAATACACATTTTACTAAATTCAAATATCATTTTGTATTATATTAAGTGGTATTTTCACTAATTTCAAGCATAGAAAGAAAATTTATAACATCTAATATAGTCCTAATTTTTTATTTGATAATCACTGCAAGTAACAATAAAAAAATTAATCATATACTGAAGGTTAATTATAGAAAAAATAATATTACTACATTGAAAGTAGAAAACATCATTTAAACCGCAAAAAATAACAAAAAAATGAAATGAAAAGTGGCTAAATTAAATCATACATAGAAAAGTGCATATACTCTAAAATTAAATTATACGGAGATCATACTATCATTTGTAAACAATGCAATTGCATATTTAAAACAGAATAAATGAATAAGCTCACAATCAAAGGAAGCACATGAGAACAAATCCTAATACCTTTTTAGGTGATTATTTCGTAAAACGCATGGCCGAGACCTTAATTTTCGTAAGAAATTAAGATAAATTTTAACCCAAAAAAAAAAAACAATCAGTAAAGAAGAAATGAACGTAAGATACAAGATTCAATCTCGTGCACAAAACTCACAACATAAATAGAAGGCGTGAAGCTAAGAGATGCATGCTTGACCCCTCTTGTGCCATTATAAATAAGAGATCGATGTTGTGTTCTAAGGCAGGTGTGTTATTATTACACTCACTCTCATAAATTTGTTTACAAATATTAAAAAAAAGAAACAAAAACAAAATGTTGCTGATTCTTCAAGGGAAGAAGAACTCGAATCTAATTTTAGGATGCAAAAGTTTAATGATGGTTCCTACTTCCTAATTATGCCTTAATTAAAAAAGTCGAGGACGCTAACAACTAATGGTTGTAATTAAGTATTTTATAGGGACCATAGCTACTCATATTTTATAGTTAGTAATATATAGGTAAAAGCATCTCAGACTTTAACCTTCATAACACCAAATCTTGTGGTTTTTTGGGTCAAAAACCAAGATTGGTTTACTAAAATCTGAAGATTTTCGGGTTTAATTAGAAAAAGAAAATTACAAAAAATTGCTGGACCATTAGAAACAGATGAAAAAGCAAAAAAATATGTTGAGAAAAGGTAGAGAAATCATGAGAAATCATATTGTTCCCTTTAGTAAAATGTCTCAAATCATTTTTCACCACCCAAAACTAATCCCAAGCAACAACCACTTCATTTCACAATCACCTTATAAATACCAAACCTTCCTCAAAGTCTTAACAAACACACTAACACTAGCCCCCACCTGCTCAACAACCTATAGCCTTTAACACTTTCAAGAAACCCATTGAAGCCGAGTGAGAGGAGAGAAATGAATTCAAAAACTTGCCTAATCTTCTTCTTCTCTTCTCTAATCATCACAAACATCGCCTTAGCGCAAGACCGAGCTCCTCACGGTCTGGCTTACGAGACACCAGTGGCGTTTTCACCTTCTGCATTTAACTTCTTTCACACACAACCAACAAAACAAGATGCTACTTTAGACCCTTGCGTCGAATCCGGCTGCTCGCCTCTCCCTGTGGCTGCAAAAGTCCTAGGAGCTTCAGCAAAAGCACAACAAAGCGAGGTAGCAACAATGTCGATTGGTTCTACAAGTGTTATAGGAGCTGGTGGTGTGGTCGGGATTATCTTTGGACTTGTGTTTACCGTCCTGATGTGAACCATTCCAATTCCATCCAGTCTAGTGTTTTGAGCTGATAATAGAGTGTATGGCTAGAGTTTAAGTTGAAATGTGTGCTTTTTTTTCTTCACTTTTCTTGAAGCTTGTATCTAGATTTTCACATTAATATCATAGTATTCGAGTGGTTACCATCTGGTCCGAATTCGATCTAACATATTATAAGTATAATGGATGTTAATTCAACATCTCGAACATTAAGCCAAATAACAACAAGCTTTGTTAACAATTTTGAGTAAACACAACAATTGTCTCCGTGTTCAAGAAAGTAAGACAACAAAGAATAGTGCCATTTGAAGGCGAGAGTAGAGTATTCCACGATCTTCAACTTGGGCCTAACAAGGCCCAGTAGAAAATGATGTCAAGTCGAAGAACATGACACGAGAGCCAATGTGTGTTCAACGTGCAGGCTTGCCATTCAGCCGCCCGTCACGTGTCTTCCTTTCAACACCCACCGATCCCGCTTTTAAGATAATGTGTGTATATGTTTCTTCTAGACGAAGGTATAATTTTCTCATAACCTAATGGAGAAGAAGAAGAAAGGAGATGAATCAAGGCCACCATTAATGGCCTTAAACCATGTCTCAAGGCTATGCAAAGACGTTAACAAGTCTCTAGAGTTCTATACCAAAGTGTTGGGGTTCGTGGAGACAGAGCGACCCGCGTCGCTTGATTTCAATGGTGCTTGGCTTTTCAACTACGGTGTTGGGATCCATTTGGTGCAAGCTAAAGACGAAGACAAGTTACCTTCAAACACAGACCATTTGGACCCGATGGATAACCACATCTCGTTCCAGTGTGAAGACATGGAAGCTTTGGAGAAAAGACTCAAGGAAGTGAACGTCAAGTACATCAAGAGGACGGTCGGTGACGAGAAAGATGCAGCTATTGACCAGCTCTTCTTTAATGACCCTGATGGATTCATGGTCGAGATTTGCAACTGCGAGAATCTCGAGCTTGTCCCTCGTGATTCCGCTGATGCTATCTATCTCCCTGGAGATCGACACGCGCCTCCTGTTGCTATCCCTGGGTCATCTAACCATGCGGATACTAGGCTGCCCCAGACCAATTCTTAGTACTTAGTTTAGACTCTTGTTTTTTTCGTTTGTTCTTGTATTTGTGCTTAAGCTACTACTCTATTTGTTTGTGCTACAAACTCCCATCAAACCGTGACTGTTTGGAAACGATGTGTGAGCTATAACCCAAACTTGAATCAAAAAGTATGACTTCCACAATTCTTGAATCGGCAGTTTCATCATTTGAAAACACAGTATTAGGTAATCATGTAAGTAAAAGGAAAACTTCTTTAGGTAAAGTCATGCTTGAGCTATAACATAACACTATAACAGTGTATCCTGCAATTCTACACATACCGTCAAGTGTCGCAAGAACTCACATGGCTGCCCACCTCTCCGTGAGCTTCTGCACAAGCACAGGAAAGAGCGATAGCATCATCATCACGTTCCAAAATTGGAAGTGCTCGTGGTGTGGTCGAGATCATCTATGGACTTGTGAACCATTCCAGTTCTGTTCAAGAGATGATACATGATACATCTGCAGTGGTTAATAGTAGAGTATTCGACTGTTTACCACAAGATCAAATATTGATCACCTGCCAGTTAGACATCAAATCTAACAAAACATTACAGGTGGGTAACTGGTAAGTTTAGGATCTTGATCATTAAGATAAACCGACAAGAAGCTTTATTAACAATATCAGTAAAACACAACAAAACCTCTGCTCAAGAAAGTAGAAGAAACAAGAACAGTGTGTTGTATTCAGATAAGGCCACACAACTGAAATGTCTACATCTCCAAATCCATAGTATCTAAGAACCAAGAAACAAGACAACAATCGAACGCACTCAAGTTCTTGTTCGAAGTTTTCACATTTCAGCAGAGTATTCAATCCATACTCTACCATTTACGCGAGCTAAGATATTCAATAGCAGGTTCAAAGGTCTGATCCACAGCTTTGTTCCACAGAGATGCAAATTCCATGCGATATTTCTTCCCAAATATTCGATCTCTCACCTGAGAGACAAAGAAAATCCCCAAGCTTTAAACTTAAAATTCATGTGTGAGTGATCAATGATCTCTAAACTGTAACCAAAAGATCATAAGGAACCTACAAATCCAGCTAGTCTATATCAAAAGCTAACACTTTGTTCGTTCAAAGCAGTGGCTCAAGCCTTATAAGAGATTTTTCTCCATTCTCAAAACTGAATCGCCGAATTAGGAAACCGAGATTCTCACCACACCAAGATGAAACCCAGAAATTTCGGAAATTGAACGATATCTAGGGATTTGTGATTACCACTTAAAGGGATTAAAAAGGAATTTGATAACCTGGGATTGATCCAAGGATTGAGATTTCTGACGATCAGAGACGGATTCATGGATGAGCTTTCGCTGCTCTAAAACGACAAAAGCTGTCAAGGCGCTACCGAGAGTGGCGCCAAGAAGACGCTCCTGTAGACGAAGAGATTAAGGAATGTTGAAACAACAATAGAGCAAATCAAATTCGGAAAAGAGAGTAGAATAAGTGGGGAGAATCTGGAGATTTTTAGAGGAAAGAGGAAAACCTGAGTGAGAATGCTGATCATGGTGAAACTCTATCGCGGATTGATTTTGCTTGGGAACGGAAAAGGGGTTATTTTCAGTTCTCCTGAAGAACAAAAAAAAAAAAGAAAGGAAGAAGACGACGAAGAACGAGGCAGACACGAATTTATAATGGGCCAAATATGGGCCTTAGCCCATTATTGTAACATGATGTGACTTTTACTCTATTATTTTGGAAAATACCATATTGTTCCAAACCTAAAACATTTAAGATTAATACAATCCTCTACCAAAAAAAAAAGATTAATAAAATCAAAAATAACACAAATTATTTAAACTTAACGTTTGGATTCCCAATTTCCAATTCAAGGTTCAGAATTCTCCTATTATGAAATTTTTTTGAGTTATTTTAATATTAAATTGTGCTATTATTAGAAATTTAAATTAATGGTGTTTGTTTGCAACAAAACTTTAAAAGTGTAATTTTTGAAAATTACCCTAATAATTATAAGTTTATACATGATAAATCGACAACAACCCATCTCTTTTTGATTTTTTTTTTGTTTTTGTTTTAAAGCATGCAACCACAAATCACAAATGTTGGGGTTACAATTTGAGTAACTTACAATACTTTAGGAAGCTAACATATGAGTCTGTCGACTTAATTTAATCTAACATATGAATGAGAGCATTTTTAGGCTGCATAAAATACTTGCACCACCAATGATTTATTTATTTTTTCTAATAAAGAAAAGACATGCAGCAAAGTTTGAATGTTGAAGCAGCTTAATGCGTTCGACATGGGTAGCAACACCATCAAACAAAATAAACAAAGGTCTCTAAAATAATACATCTATTTGTTTAACTGTTCAATTTTAACAAACAATGTATTGATAAAACATCTTCTTTCCATATTCATATTCTTCCCTCTCCTGATTCTTTGTAGCTCCTTCAAAGACGCAAGAAGACGAGAGATAACAGATTCCCCTGATCAACAATTTTTCAAGAGGTGTCTTGCTACGATCCACATTGAATCAAAAGCTTATAAGAAAAAACGATTTCAAATCGAATCGCCATGGCGAAAAAGCTCTGTTTTATTCTCATTCTATCAATTTGTCTCCTTATTGTCGGAACCTCGTACGCTCAGGAGGAGTCTCCGTCACCGGCTACCTCGCCGGAACATGAGACCCTAACGGAGTCTCCTCTGCCACCATCTTCACCGGAGTCAGATTCCTCTCCATCACCAAAAGCAGATTCCCTTCCGCCACAAGCTTCATCACCGAAAGCAGATTCTTTTCCGCCACAAGCTTCATCACCGGCACCTGAATCTCTAGCGGATTCTCCACCACCACCACCGCCTCCTCCTCAGCCGGAATCTCCATCACCATCATCATCATCTTCTCCGTCGCCTGGACCAGCACCAGTTCCTGCTCCGTCCGATGATGATGATTCTGATGAGGATTCAGAGCCGGAGACAGAGTATTTCCCTTCTCCGGCACCATCTCCTGTGCAGGAAGAAGGAGAACCAAACGACATCAAAGCAAGCGAGGACGGAGATGAATTCGACGACGAGGGAGGCCAAGACAATGGCATGAGCGGGTTGAAGAAAGCCGGGATCGCCATTGGAGCAATACTTGGAGTAGGAGCGATTGTAATCGGAGCTCTTGTTTACAAGAAACGAAGAGATAACTTAACCAGAGCTCGTTACACTTACTTTGAACAAGGAGAATTCCTTTGAATCACTTTCTTTTTTTTGGATTGACAAAAACTTATGCAAAACATATATAATCCTTACATTGTGTTTTTATGCAAAACAGAAAATATAGTTGTTGTGTTCATCATCTCTTTAAAAAGAGTGTATCATTCTTGATTATTATTATTATTACCTTTGAAGGAGCATTACCATTTCGCAGTGGTCAGTGTGAGGAAAAAGGTCGACGGCCATGGCTTTGACAGGTCTAAAAGGCTCAGAGGCAGGCATTTTCTTGGCTCTGTGTCTAGCTAAAGCAGCAGTGCCCATTCCTCTCCGTCTTTGGTGACCTTTGTTCTCTTGATTCACTTTCTCGAAAGACGGCGTGCAAAGCTCTATCGCGTTTGCCACTAGCGTTTCAGGGTTGCACGAAATGTACCTGTAGCAACCAAAGCAATTAGAAACTCTGGTGTTAAAAACGGAAGCAGAGTCGATGTAACCAAATGTTTTGTGATAGTGTTTTGAGAGAAGGAACTAACACAAGCGTCTTTAACCGTGGATGAGTTCTCAGTGCTTTGATTACATCCGGATGAAGTCCAGGACGAGGTGGATCGACTATGGCAACTACGTTTTTGAACCGTGGTTTTGTAGATCTTTCCGGTTCTGAAGAGGAATCCTTCTGCTCAATGTTTTGAACTTCTTCATGAATGTTTGGAGGAAGTACATGCTCTGAGTTTGACATCTCTTCTGTTGAGGAAATCTGTTTGTCGACACCATCTTTGGCATTACTTTCAGGTTTGGCTTCTTCCATTTCAGACTCGTCTAGGTACTCTGTAAGTAGAGAGCTCATCACATCCTCTGCCTGTAGAAAAATAAAACCAGCGAACACTAACATGAAGAAGAACTTGTAGGATTAAGATAATGAAGCTGACTACGAGATATGTTATTCTCAGACACATGCCTTGGAGCAGATGAACTTGCAGTTGCTTATTCCATTGATTTTTGCATTCCGTTCGGCATCTGATACAGCCGAGGCATTCATTTCTATGCCAATTACCTGTAAGAGCTTAAGAGGTTAGTACCGAACCAATGAAGACAGGATCAGTTACCCACTTTTTAGAGTTTTGTTCAACTTATGGGATTGTAATGAATAAAGTACTATTATTCATCCACCAAAGCAGCAAAAAACGACAAGTTAAAGAAGCAGAGTATTACCATACCAACACGATGTGCCAGTGTAAGACCGATTGTTCCAGTTCCACAGCACACATCGAAGAGTAATGTGTCAGGACCAAGGTCAGCCCAATCTCCAGCTAGAGAGTATAACTTCTCTGCGGCGCTGGTATTAACCTGGATACAATCGTTTCAAAATCTATTCAACAACGCCAATTTAACAGTTTATCAAGCGAACTAAAGCTGCATCGACCCTGAAGTTACTACCTGAAAGAATGCTGTTGGGGATATGCTGAACCGAAGGTTGTTGATATGATCGTGAATCCGAGCTTCGGTCAAGACATTGGTGGATTGGCCCTGATTTGTTCCATTATCTGACATTGGAATAGGGAGCAATCGCAGTGGACAATCTGGTGGTGCAACATTTGAAATTCCTACGTGATCCTGTGCAAGAAGCGATAAGAGACAGTTAATGACGAGATTGGACTATAGAGCGAACAAACTGTATTATACAATTTTATTCTGAATTTAGTAAAAGAGAAAGTGAGGAGACGTAATCACTTGAACAACTAATACAGTCAGAGGAAGTGGTGGAGAGCTCGCTCTAGCTCCTTCAGCAAATGCTTTTGCCATTTCTTCAAACTCAGTTGCCACTTCTGCCTCATCAGTACCCGTAGTACAAACCTGAATAGTTTCAGGCGAGATAAAGAAATCAAAACAAGAGATTACTTCTGGAGTAAACTATCCTAAGCCAATGATTCGAGATACAAACCTGAACCATAAGCATAACCTCCGCAATTCTTGTATTGGCATCTTCATCATTCGAAAACACGCCAGGTTTTCTGCCTTCTCGAACCTAAGACAGTTTTTTTGGAGCCAGGTTAAAGGAAAATTGAATCAGGTAGGTCATGCTAGAGCTATAACATAACAGTGTATCGTGCAATACACGTACCGTCAACTGTCGCCAGAACCCACAACTTTTAAACCTATTCCAAACTGGGAGCCTAGATTTTTCTAAGAAACTCTGGAAGATTGAAGCATATCGGCAAGCAATTTTAGAGATATTGGGACAATCCACGGCTTCTTCGACTGCTGTCACACCAGCACTGGTAAAAACAAAATTGTATTAGCTCTTCCCATGACACTATGAAAAACACAAGTTTCAGAGTAGAACTTACATACCTAAAATTTCCGAGCATGAATCCAACAGTTAGCTTTCCTTCAACGGAATATCCAGTCGAGAACTCACACTTGTTCCTGTAACCATTGGTAACCGGTGATTCTATAATGCCCTCGAGCTTACATGAAAGACCTCCTGCAAGATTTAATGTATGAATCAAATTGTAGATCACGAGTATTCCTAGAAATCAACAAAGTATAGCTTTCTTACCTATTTCTCGAGACTGAAGGACCCATTCTGGAAGTGATTTTCCATTTGGACAAGCTTTACGGGCATTCCTCGTCTGTTAAGAAAAATATTTCCAAACAAAATCAGTCTTTTGAACTACTTAAACAGCAATCACAAAATAAAAAAGAAAAGATGAGAAAGTTTCTGACAAGTTTTTTCAGCATTTGCATGATAGAAGCCTTCTTCTGTTCAAGCTGGTCCGCATAAGACAGGTCTGCCAAGGGAGTCACGGCTTCACGGGCACTTTTAATTTTAGCCGGATTTTTTGTTCCGTTGTTCTTGTCGATTGTACGGGGAAGCACATCAGCGATCTTCAAATTCTTGTTATTAACAGCTTTTCCATCCAAAACCTGCCAAATATTCAACAAAGACTTTTAAACAACAAAAGAGAGGGAGAGCTATCTCCAATCGATAAAATTAGAAAGAAAGGTAACAAAAAAGCACCTCCAAGCCTCTCTGCAATTGTTCTGCATTCTCAAATGTCAGAAAACCAACAACCATTCCTCGTCTCTTCTTCGCAAACTTAAACTCAACTCCCTGTAAAAAAATGAATGAATCAGTAACTCAATCTATCAAAGGAATCAGTAGCTCAATCTATCTTCTTCAATCATCTAAAGATCCCTTCAACTACACTAACCACAGAGCTAAGTATCCTTCTTCACTCTAAAGACTAAATCAATGGTTCTGTTTCAGAGCTTTAAAACCATGAAAAGTCCAAAACTTTATTTACCTGCTCTCGAACAAACTTCTTCAAATCATCTGATTGCCATTTAATGGGCAAATGCACCAAGCATTTACTTAGCGAAAGATCATGAACAACACCATCTCCACAACCTTCACCGTCGTTTTCGTCCATCATCTCCTCAGTGAACAAAACATCGCCGTCTTCCTCCTCTTCCTCCCCGGATTTCCCAACATTCTCCGACATCTTCGCCTTCTTGCCGCGCTCGGAGGTCGGGTCCCAGGTATTGTCTGGTTTCTGCCGGAGCTCCTCCTCGCCGTGAGCGTACCTGCAAGCGTTTCCATGGCTGCAGGAGCCCTGTCGCCTGAAATAGGAGCAGAGACTCGTCTTAAACCACGGTGAAGGAGTAAGATTAGGGTCCGACGATTTGGGATTGGTCTTCTCGTCGGCGGCGCGCTTCCGTTTCTCCCCGACGGCCTCGACGTCATCGGAAGATGGGATTGAGTCGACGGGAGAGGGAGTGATATCGGACGGAATCTGGGATTTTAGGGTTTCGTCGATTGATGATGAATTCAGTGGAATGTAATCAGTGGGATTTGGATTGGGAGTTGAAATTGGGTCGACGGGAGCGTCGTCGGAGGGATGTTGATGAATTAGGGTTTTGGCGGCGGAAGTAAGCTCGTCGATGATTGGTGAAGACGCCATTGGAAGTGGTGGTGAACGGTAAGAGATTTTTTTTTTTTTTTTGGGTATTGGATGTGGCGGAGTTTGAACTGTATCAGATTCAGACCTTTAAACCCTACCGGATTACTTTTTATTTATTATTTTTGTTTGGTCCAATATTCTAATTATTATAATATTTTTACACCTCTTAAAACATTCAAGTATTGGCACATGTTTCTTCGGACTCTCCCTCAAGTTCTTTCCCATCACACACATCACTTTGCCTCGTACATCTAGAATGCAATGCAAAAACACTATCCTTTCGTGCAAGAGTATTCTCCGTAATTTTCATTTATCTTTGTATGACAAACTCCACAATTAGTCCACTCCTAGGAGTAAAATTGAGATGATGATCATGACGAAATACCTTTATGACATATGGTAAGTCGATACACTGTTTATGGACAATGAAAGCGCATAAAACAACGCCTTTAAAAAATTTCACTCCACTGTATCATAGACTTTAGACATATCAGATTTAATGGCCATGAACTCTTTTGATATTGACGGATGAGTTCGAAGACCATGGAGCATCTCATGAGCAATTAAGATATTGTCTGAAATCAACCTCTTAGCTACAAAAGCAGATTGGGTAGAAGACACCAACACATCTAACAAAGGTTGCAGACGCCAAACCAGGATTTTGGAGATAACCTTATAGAGAACTGAGCAAAGACTTATAAGACGAAGGTCAGACATCAATGACGGATTCACAACCTTTAGTAATAAGCACAAATGGGTATAATTTCATTCAGACGGGAATGAACCATTAAGAAAAAATCCTTGAATCTCTATTTTGACTTGTTTTCCAATGACCTCCCAATATTTTTGAAAGAACAGACCAGTCATACCATCAGGTCCTGGTGCACTTGACGGTTTGATTGAGAACACAGCTTCTTTGACTTCTTCCTTAATCACATCTTTTATCAGATTTTTATTCATCTTCTTAGTTACCCTTGGATGAAAGCCATGGAACACATCCTCAAAGTTTCCCGGAGAAGAAAATTTGAAGAGATTAGTAAAATAAGAAGAGGCAACTTCTCCTTTAGCCGCTTCTGATTTCTTCTGATTCCCTCTAGCATCCACCAATTTCTCTAGCCTTATCTTTCCCCTATTAGACTTCACAGAAGCATGGAAGAATTTAGTATTGAGATCACCCTTCTTAAGCCATTTCACTCTGCTTCTTTGACTCCAAAAATCTTCTTCTTCTCTATAAGCTTTCATCAACTGTTTTTTCAAAGAGTCCATATGAACAAGACAAGGATGAGAAGCCGATTGTTCACTCTCCAAAGCCACTTGAAGTTGAGAAATCTTATCCCTTGCATTCATGTTGTTACTCTTTTTCCATTTGCTGAGAGCTTTACAACAACCCCTTATTTTATCTGAAACAAATGCTTCAAAATAAATATGTTTTCTGTTCCATGCTTCTACAATTGCCACTTTGACGTCCGGATTGTTCAGAAACCTCTTATCAAATCTGAAATTTCCCTGATAGGTTTCATTGCTTGACAAAAGTCTAACCATAACCGGACGATGATCAGATCCCCTATTATCCATGAAGATCTGATTAGAAACAGGGAACTGACTGAACCAAGCTTTATTCCCAAAGCATCTATCAAGTTTGCACTGAATCCAAGATTGACTTTCATTCCTCCCCATGTGAATCCATTTTCTGATGACGGAAGTTCAACCATAGCACACCTTTTTAACATCTCAGCAAAATCTCTAAACGAAGCTTCACTTCTTCTAGGACCTCCAAGCTTCTCTCCATTATGTAAAATCTCATTAAAGTCACCCAACATACACCAAGCTTCTTTCCTATTTATCCCCAGCCTTGTTAATCTTTCCCAAAAAACTGATCGATATTGCTTGGATAGATCTCCATAAACACACGAAACGAAGAAAGCAACAGCACCAAACTGTACATGAAAGTCGATTAAGTTTTTATTTACAAACTTCAAATCAATCTCTACACTGTTCTTCCAAAAAAGAGCTAAACCTCCACACGTACCAACAGGATTAACAGTGAAAATCCTATCATAACCTAGCCAAACTTGCAAGTCAACCAAAACATCTCTTTTATTCATAGTCTCCATCAGAAACAAGACTTCAGGAAAATGTCTTTACATATTTTCTTTAGTCTGGGAATCACTAAATCTTGAGACCGTCCCAAGCCTTGGCAATTCCAGCTGAGAAGGCTCATTAAAGATTGGACAGTCCCTCATTTGGGACTATCTCATGTGTTTTTGACCTTGCGGCTTTGGAAACACTCTCCAGATCACTTACAGCCTTCCTTTTCTCCATCGATCCCACCAAAGAACCCTTATTTTTCTCAACATCTTCAGCAATGGAACTCTCCAATTTTTTTTTTAACTTCCTTCGACTCTTCGGGGGCCTCTTTCTAGGTTTTGATTTTTTCATCATAGTTCTGGAAGGACCAGCACCAGAGTGCCCGATCCTGTAACCCGTTGAACTATTCTGAAAAGGAGACGATTCAACAGAAAACCCAAGAGAAGCAGGAACGACTTGAAAAGGATTTGGCCCATCAATTCTCCTTGAACTAGCATCAGCTCGAATCGCAGCAGACATTAGCTTTTGACAACGAGGCATGATTTCTTCGGTTTTAGTCGTGGAGTCTTCGGAAGAATAGCCAAAAACCGGACCTTTACCTTTGTTAAGATCACGAGTGATAATTGGAACCGGCTCAAGACGAAAAACTATTTTCTGCGTGATTAAATTCTTCTCAGCCTCACATACAGATTTCTTCACACGATCTTCTCTGACTTTACGATCATCACCATTAGCAATTAGAAGGTATTGTCTCATTCCTTGTAAGACCTCGGCTACAATCCTCGGTCGACCCATTAAGGGATTCACACCAACCTGATTCTCACCAAGGACGCCAAACAGAGGATCAGATTCCAGCAGAACAGGCTTGGGGATCTGCTTTTGGGGAGAACTACCAAGTCTTCTTTCAGCCGCCAACGCCTGACGTTTCAAGATCAAAAGAGGACAAACCTCCCGCTCGTGAGTTAACCTTTGACAAGAGTAGCATCTCTTCTGAATTCTCTCATTGAAATAGTGAACTGTGGTTGATCGATCCCTTAGGCAGATTGATCACTTTTGACTGTCTAAGAGGTTTAAAAACATCAAATTTAACTTTCACTCTCACAAACTCTTTGTTCTTCGCTTTAGTAGGATCGAAGGCAATTTCAGTAACCAGACCAACAAGGTCCCCTAAAGCAGTAAACGCCTCCTCAGTGTAGTGATTGATAGGAATGTTTCTAATTTGCACCCAGATAGGAACAAACTGCAGAGTCTCACTTGAAGGCTGCTTTTCCCAACGCTCAGTTGCTAGAGCCCATTCATTAAAAGTATGGACCCCTTTGTCCAAGATTTCATTTAGATCATGTTCATACTTGAAAAAAACTGGAATCGCTCTCTAGATAAAGCCACACCTCTGACTCTATCATACTTTTGCCACTTTCTAGGCAAATCCAAAATCAGGTTAGCCATCCTCTGACAGTCTGGATTCAGGAGACGACCTATCAGGCTGAACTCATTTTTATCACTTGAACAGTAAGCTGGGGTATCAGGTAGATCGAACGGCACCTCTTCCTCCTCTAGAGACATGGCCATCACACTATAAGAAACTCGTTGGTTAACGTCACTAAATTAACGTTATTCTCTAAACCGATTTTAACATTTTTTTTAAAGAGACGCATTTTAACGTCGTTAAACAAAACGACTTTAACATGTGACGTTAAGCCTTTTTATCGGTCGTTATATGACCCAGTTTCTTAACATTTTCGGCCAAAAAAAAATAGAAAAAAACTTTCTCTTCTCTTCTCTATTTTTTCCCTTTCTCTTCTCCATTTCTTCCCCGACGAAACCATTCGACTCTCTGGGCCTCCAAATCGCCTCACCGTCGCATCTTCACTGATTCTCGCCGCTTCCGATCAAAGAGACGTCCGCCGAAGCTATATTGAAGGTAAGCGATTTCATCTATCAGTCCTGTCTCATCGATTTGTTCTTTTATCTCCCTCTAAATGAATTTGATGGTTTGTGGTTTGAGTGGATTGAACTCAAAATCGAATTCCTTTGAGTTCTGATATCTCTCCTTAATGTATTGCATCCGAATTTGTTTGCGGTTGCTCTTGCATGTCTCTTTTGAAATCGTTTTTATCTTGTTTGATCGATTAGGGATTTTTTTACAAATTGTGGAATATCTCTTGTTTCATCGATTTGGGTTTATTCCTTTGCTTCAATTTTGGGCTTTGGTTAATCCACTGATAGATTTCGAATATAGTTTAGTTTAATTGTGGAATCGGCTGTGATGAATGCTTTGTTTAGCTGTGGAATATAGTTTAGTTATAATCAATGGCTTAGTTGTGATGAATGCAAGCTCATTGGAAGTTTAAAGAACAAGCTCATTGCCGACTTGATGTCCTGAAGAAGCTTGAAGTCATTTAAAGAACAAGCTCATTGCTGTGTACTCGGTTAGGAAGGTTTTTGCTGTGTAAGCGGTTAGGTTGGTTTTTGGTGTGTAAGCTGTGTAATCGGTTAGGTTGGTAGTTGTTGTGTCATCGTTTGTTCTTGTTTTATGATTGCTTAAGCTATTTTCCTGATGTTCTAAGCCTGCCTAATGTAATATATTTTGTTTAATGAAAAGATTATGTCTCATATACTATCTTCTTGTGTTATTTTGTTCTCGTATAATGAAAAGGTCTATCTCTCAACTCTGTTGTTGTGTTATTATGCAGGCTGATCTCTTCTACAATGGAAGGAAGGAAAGTGATTGTTTGCGGATTCCCTGCAAAAGGACTCAGACCAATGGTCCGCCAACATGCACGAGAAGAAGTAGATGATAATTTTGCTGAAGATGTGGAGGAGATTACAAGACAAGAAGCATATGATGACGTGAAGGAGATCACACGAGCAGAGTTTAGGAGATCTTTAGGGAGCAGTCTTCTGCGCATTGAGGAAGACGAAAACGACATCGAACCTGGATACCGTGAAGCCATAAAAAGGATGATAAAGGAGGAGAGAAAGCTTGCACTACAGAGACGTGGGGTTCAAGAAATAGGAAATTCATCCCATTTGTGGAAATACATTTAACTGCTAAGGATAATTCTATAACTATGCATATAGAAAATGAGAGAGCGTAATATTAAAAGTCGAAGCAAACATAAGATACCACATGCACTTGGAAAAAAGAGTTTAGCAAGAAAGTCTTATGAGATGGTAACTTACAAACTTATGTTTGCATCACATACATTATGATTCACATTATGTTTATGGTTTTGTGTATCCTCTTATCTTAGATACCAATATTCATTTCTTAGGAAATGGAGACAGGCGTAGAACCAAATAGAGGTGAACTTTTTATTGCATCACGTACAAGGTCAGATGAAAGTTTAGTTTGCAACGAAGCAACAATCTCTGTAGTAAGTTTTCTGTCTGATTCACTTCTTAAATGTTACCAAACTGTTAGTTGTTGATATTTTTAAAATGGTATTCATCAAATTTTGCAGGATCAACTGAAACATGCGATGACTCAGAATATTCAAAGTGAAACAAGTAATGATCCTAAACCGAATGATGCATTTGAAAAAGTCTTTAGCCCTGAGCATCCGGGACGAGTTCGATAGGGCGTGGCCCGACACCATCCAAGTATTTTGCGACTCCATCTAATTATGAGATCATAGAGGCCCGCATGAAAAGACTTGAAGACAAACTAGATTTCGTGGCTGATGCTCTTGTAGCTCTTGTTCGATCAAGAAATCATTCCCAAGTAAGATACAACTTTTATTGATTTAAAGTTATCATTTTCTGGAGGTAACAAAAAATGTATTTTTCACAGGTAATAGGTGAAGACGCAAAGTTTAACATCAACATTCTTCAATCATCTAGCATCAATAGTGACCAGGATAGTGGCATTTCAAAGACTGGACTTTGAAAATGGGGGACACGGTCTATTTCCCCCCGTAACTTTCATATAATACTAGATCACCCCGAACTTTGAACCTCGGTCTGTGTCCCTCTCAAACGAAAGTTAAATAGAATTTTCCCCATAGTTTCGAAGTTCGAGAGCTGTTTCCCCCTCAACCGAAATTTTGATGGTTTTACATCGGTTTCTGCATGTAAACCGTAAACCAGACATGTTCGACCGAAAACAAAACCAAAATAAAAACCAAATCCGGCCCTAGATCCGACCCGTTCCCCAATTTAAATCCGTTTTAAAACCCAGAGAAATCCCCAAATCGAATAAGAACCCTAAAACTCAATTTTCCAAAATCGAAACCTGAAAATTCTAAACCCTGCGAATTCAAAATCAAAACTAGTGGAGGATGAGCAATATATCTTACGCATTTAGTGGAGTATCAAATGGTGGCCGAGATCGAGGAAGAGTCATGGGAGTTCCGAGAAAATGTTGGTGTGGAGAAGAAATCATAACAAGGATCTCCAGATCGAAATCATGTACTTCTCTCCACTCCAATGACTCCATGATCGAAAACGCCTTCCAATTTCGACAGAGGATTTCTCAATTTGGGAGAATTTGATTTCTGAGTTTTGTTTTTCTGGTTAGGGTTCGAGCCGATTTGGGGATTTAGCTGTAATCGGGTTTTAGGTTGCGGGTTTAAAGCTCGGGTGGGTTTTAATTGGTTTTTACGGGTTGTAATTGGGTTGTAATCGATTTTAGAAAGGTTTAGGTTAGGTTAATGTTGGTTATCAACTTAATGGTATACAGTAAACCAACAAAACGTGGGTCGGGGGAAATGGATTTCGAAGTTTCAGATGAGGGGGATACAATTCTTGAACTTCGAAACTAGGGAGAGAAATCTATTTAACTTTCGTTTGAGGGGGACACAGACCGATGTTCAAAGTTTGGGGTGATCTTGTATTATATGAAAGTTACGAGGGGGAAATAGACCGTTTTCCCTTGAAAATGGTATGTCCGTGCATATCCTGTCTCTAAGTCTATCAAAATAGTTTTGGAATCTGTTTAGCTATGTTTTAGCTAGTTATGTTCCTGGAATTTGTCTAGTAGCTTACTTAGAAGACTAAGTTGTTCATGGGATTTGTCTAGTAGCTTACTTAGAATGCTAAGTTGTTCATGGAATTTGTGACTGCATCTTGACTTCTATTGCAATTTTACAAGTTTTACTTACATGTTTTTCTTTGCTTCTGCTTTGTCTATATGTTTCAGTAAGTTTTTGTAACAACTAAATGTTTCATAAGACACAGACTTCTTACTTCTCAATCAGAAGAGCTGGTGTTTGTGGGCATTTCAGTCTCTGTTTAGACGAGCTATACTTGTACTTTGACATTTATACTTGTTCATTGACATTATAATTCGACAGTCATCAAATATTGTAATTGAAAATCTTCTATACAATTATGTTTTGACTCTTGCTTTGAATGAATGATTTTATTGATTATATTATTTTGTTGTCCATTTTATCGTTTACAGGTGTAATTTTATTTTAATTTAGAAATGCATCTCACGTCGGTTTGAGAAATGATAGGAACTTAATTAAAGTCACTATTTTTACTGTCGTTAATATAAAAGAAAGTAACGTTAGTTTTTTGACGTTAAACATAACGTCAGTTTTGTAAGTGAGGCCAAATAAACTAACATCACACTTTCAGACGTCGTTAATAAAACTGACGCCATATTATTAAAGTCGCTTCATAACCGACGTTAAGCCTAAATTAAAGTGACGTGAAAAGCTGCATATTTTGTAGTGTCAGCGCCTTATCCATAGCAGAAGACATGGTGACGAAAGTAACTCTAATCCACCACAACAGAAGAAAAACTGAACGGCCACAAGTATACAGGCCACTCAAAGCTAGGAAAACACCGGAGAAAAACTTGCAAAGAAGACCAAACGAGATTTTTTCAAAAACCCAGCAGAGAAGAACAAGGAGAAACCCTAGTTTTCTTTGTAGATCTGAAGAAAAAGTGTTTGAAAATGTTAAAAAGCGGGTTGAAAAGTCAAAAGGGAAAGATGTTTTTCCACACAAAGCTCTATTCTCGAAGAGATGAGATACTCTAACACAGAAAGAGAGTCTTAAGCCCAAAAAAGGGAAACAAATATTTTTGATGCGTGGAGTGGGTCTTGTTCTGTGTTTCTTCGGTTACATTCTCTGTTTTAATCAACGGCCAGCCACATGGGATGATTACACCTGAGAGAGGTTTAAGATAGGGTGATCCTTTATCCCCTTTTCTTTTTGTGCTATGTACCGAAGGTCTCACGCATCTTCTCAACAGAGCTGAAAAGAATGGTCTTATTCAAGAGATTCAGTTTCTCCTTCTGGTCCGGCTATTCATCACTTACTTTTTGCTGATGATAGTCTCTTTGTTTGTAAAGCTGATGAAGCTCAGTGTGGAACTCTAAATGAGATTCTGAAAATGTATGGAGGTGCTACTGGTCAAACAGTTAATTTGCTTAAGTCTTCCATTACTTTTGGGTCGAAGGTGGAGGAGGAAAAGAAAACCAGAATTAGAGAGATGACTGGGATTCTTAATGAAGGTGGGGCTGGAACATATCTCGGTCTGCCAGAATGTTTCAGTGGTTTAAAGACTGATATGCCTTGCTATATCTATGATCGGCTAAAGTCTAGATTATCAGGTTGGTTTGCCAGGACTCTATCTCAAGGTGGTAAAGAGATCCTCCTCAAGGCAGTAGCAATGGGCATGCCGGTGTACGCTATGTCTTGTTTTAAACTTACCCAGGCTATGTGTGAAAAATTGGCAAGTGCTATGGCTGATTTTTGGTGAGATTCTCTTGAGCATAAAAGGAAGATTCATTGGCTCAGTTGGGAAAAGATGTGTTTAACAAACGATCAAGGAGGGCTGGGTTTTAAGGATATTCAACGCTTTAATCAAGCGTTGTTAGCAAAACAAGCTTGGAGGATCCTTCACTTTTCCAACAGTCTTTTTGCAAGAGTTTTCAAAAGTCGGTATTTTGATGAAGATGTCTTTCTTAAAGCAGAAGTGGGCTCTCGGCCTTCATACGCTTGGAGAAGCATTATCCATAAGAGAGATTTGTTTGTCCATTGGCCTTAAAAGGATGGTCGGTAATGGAAAGTCTATAAGTGTGTGGTTCGACCCTTGGCTCTGCGATGATAATATGAGAGCTCTTTTCATCAAAAACTATGTCGTTGATCTGAATTTGATGGTGAAAGATTTGATAGATGTGCCGAGCAGAAGATGGAATAAAGAAGTCCTTCAGGATCTGTTCTATCCTGCAGATGTGAGTCTGATTTGTGCTAATAATCCGGTTGTTTGTGTTGATGATTATTGGTGCTGGTTGCATAATAGAAATGGAGAATATTCAGTGAGATCTGGATATTGGCTTGCTTCTCGGCAAAAAAGGGCTGATCTTATCAGAGAGGCTGAGATGAAACCTTCTCTAAATGATCTCAAGAAACTGGTATGGACTCTTCAAACTTCTCCTAAAATTAAATCTTTTCTGTGGAGAGCTTTGAGTGTGGCATTACCGGTAGTGGACTTATTGGCTAGGAGATGTATGAAAATTGATTCTCGTTGTCAGTTCTGTGGATTAGAAGGGGAATCAATCAATCACTTGCTGTTCACGTGCTCTATTGCTATACATGGTTTTAGTCAAGCTTCAGTGTACTCTAATCTTCACTATCTTATCTCCATGAGTAAAAATGCAGCCATTCCCAAGGAGATTCGAAGACTTTTCCCTTGGATTCTCTGGTATTTATGGAAAAACAGGAATAATTTTTTTTATTGAAGGAAAATTATTCTTCGCTACAGAGTTGATTGAGAAAATTCGATCTGAAGCTGATCTTTGGTTTGTGGCTCAAGAAGTTGAAATGGAAACTGAAGTTGGGAAGAAATTGGAGAAGTCTAAAACGAAGATCATTTGGAAACGACCTCCACCTCGTTGGTTTAAATGTAAAATATTGGAGCTTCTTGGTCCAAAGAGAAGATGATATGTGGAGGTGCTTGGGTATTAAGAGATATGGGAGGAAATGTTTTGTTTCATAGTCGAAGAGCTTTCTCAGATTCAAAATCATATGAGGAAGCTAAACTGATGGTGTTTTTGTGGGCAATAGAGAGTATGATCAGCCACAAAGTAAATCACATAATTTTTGGTTTAAAAGCGCACGAATTGGTTGGAGCAGTGCAAAGGCCTCATGCTTGGCCCTCTTTTTTATATCAAGCTTCGGAAATTCTCTTTCATTTAGATGGTATTAAAGATTGGAGAGTGAAAGTGGAAAGAAGATCTTCAAATATAGGGGCCTCTCTCATTGCTCAAAGTGTTACGAATGATTTTCGTTTTCAGTCTTACGTAGCCATTGGTTCTCCTATATGGTTATGTGAACTGTTTGAAAGTGAGAGAAGCTTGCCCTCTGTCTGCAGTGTTTGATGCATAACTAATATTTGTGTTGTTAGGCATTAAAATTTTTGGTTATGCGTTCTTTGTTTGGCTCTGTGAAATCTTTATGTTTTTAGGTGTATCTTAGTTATCTTTTGTATAGGCTGACCTAAACTTTTGATTCCTTGTAATGTCTCTATGTGTTAGGTGCAGTCGGTAATCTCTCGTTGTAGAGATTTGTAATTAGCCATTATATATTCAATCCATAATATATGACAAAAAAAAAGACAATGAAAGCGCATAGAAGACATACATAAAAGTAATCAGAACCGCCCTCCAACACACAAACATTGCAAACCAAAAAAGACTTTATTGGAAAATAATGGAGGGTATGCTCATGCCTTTTTTTATTGTTTATAGTTTTTTTTTTTTGGGTTCAACGTCTCAAACCCTCTCCTCTGAATTAATCACATTTACTCAAAAGAAATATTTTTTGATTGCAGCCAAATTTATTTGGATTGAACAAAGACTTATATTATTATCCATTTCATTTGCTTTTACTTTCAACAATTACATACTTTTTTTGAATATCAGATCAAATCTGCGGAGATAAAAGAACCGTGCTATCATGAACAAGAAGCTTCAACAGCTAAGCTCTTGACGACGCCACGACAAGGATCTCCAAAGACTCTAGTCGAGACTTCAACATTGCAACTCCTCGACCCAACACACGCCTGCCACATTTCAAACTCCAAATATAAAAAAAAAAACAATTTTAAGAAAGTTAAAAGTTGAAGAAGAATATCAAAAACGAGATCAGACCTTTTGGACGATCGAGAGAGACCGAGAGCTGCTGCAACGGCCGTGGCTAAAGCTACCACAAGTACCTTTAGGTGTACCAAAGCTTGCAAAGTTGATAGAAGATATCACTTGAGTGGAGACAGGGCATTGTAAAGAAAGAACCGGTCTGGTTCGGTTTGAGATCTTGGAGTGGATCTTGGAATCAGAAGTCCACGTGTCCACCGGCGCTGGATGAGTCTGAGACACCGTCAAACACAAGTTGCTTCCTGTTTGTTTTGTCGCGAATGATATCTTTGTCGGATCTCCTCCCATTTCTTCCAACAGAACAAGAATGTTCCCGCTAGGTTTTATCCACGAGCGAGGCACGTGATACCTGCAAACAAACAAAGCACAAATTAATCTTCAACACCTAATCATTTAGCTTAGAGAAGTAAGAGCCGGTTAGTTACTTACAATGTTTGTGAAGGTTTTCCACAGTTCTTGAGACATTTGTTTGCACGGTAAGTTCCTCTATAGTCACAAGAATCTGTGCAACCATCGTTTCTTGCGATACTAGTTGGCCAGTACCTACCTATGCTCTGTCCATTAACCCATGCAATACCCTTTCCTGTACCAGTGAAGTCTATCGCTACTGGATCACTCCCAGAAGGAGCATCAAATGTTGTCTTGAGAAACGTAACAAAGCCATTGTTAGAGAGTGACAAGAAAAGACAAGAGAGTTTCCTAAAATGTTTTTTTTTTTTGGGTTGTGTATCACCTTGTACCAAATCAGTGGCTGCTTAGTAGGCAATGGAGACTTTGAAACCCATTCAGAAGAATCTCCAGTTCCTAAACCTGAGTCTTCTCCTTTGAGTCCAACCTATAAACATAACCGAGAAGGTAAGAAAAGAGGTTCTTGTGTTTGATTTAAAATCAAATGGAGAATTTTTGTTAACGGACCTGATAAGTCCATTGTTGTGAAGACAAATCGATTGAGCTACCACTTTTTGCGCTTTTAAGTGTCACAGGACCGGTTACTCCTGCTCCCACTAAGTCAAAGAAAGCTCCATAGTTCTGTGGAACAAATTGGTTTAGTTAATCTTGCCTAGTAAAACATTTTGTGAAGTAGTCTTGAGGTTTTATGCTATGGAGTGCAAGATTATAAACAATAACGTACCGCAAGCCCTACAGTCACACCAAGGAGATCAATTGTGTTCTTCCCGGTTACAAGATTAATCGGTATGTCCAAAGATATCTTCTGTTTGCCATTTCCACTTCCTGCAATCGCAAAATTGTGTATGCAAATACGTATCATTGCTATTTTAGACAACTTTGTGAAAACTTAAAGTGTAAAATATATACCGGCAAGTTTTCCATTTATAAAAGCATAGACCACTTGACCAATGGATTGAATGTGAAGGACGGCTTTAGATCCTTCATCAAGGAAAGTCTCATCGCCTTTAATATCCATCCTGTTTTAGATTGAAACACATAGAAAGGCTCTGTTAATCAATGAAGAAATGGAGGTGTTCGGTAAAAGAACATAATCAAGCATCTTTTGAAGGAAGAGAAGTGTGCTCAGGCCTACTCTTACCTCAGCGAGTACCACAAGTAATCACTTTTATCAGCTGTTGTGTTTATCTGCTCTAACAATCCAGCTTTCAAGAATGCATCAGCCTTAGAAATTCCGATAGGTTCTTTAATGTAACTCCATTGAGAACCTAACTCCGCAGATGAACCACCATCAGGCTTCAATGATTGACGAGCAAATGTTGTAGACTCAGTTGCAGAATTTATCTACATTTTTGCGGATTGGTCAGTTCTTGCGATCAATATGATAAAGTGAGATTTAAAATGCTATGTGAAACAGACCTTTGCTGTGTTGAAAGCTACATTCTTGCAATCCGGCAAGATGCTTACGGACCATGCAGGCAAGTGATATGAATTTCCATTGAAAGTCACAGTTACATCGGATTTTGTGCCAATATTTGCAAGAAAAGCAGCACATGATCCAGATGATGTTTTATAGACAGAGGCCTGTGAAGTGAAACAAGTATAGTTCATATTTTACAAGATAATGATTAAAATCAAGAAGGGACAACATGAAGTTATTTGTTTACCTCCAAACCTGATCCCAAAGAAGTAATAGTTGGATCAGTGGCAATCAACGAGTCTTCACAAAGCTTGATAGCCTTGTGTAGATCTCTTAAGTGTCCCCATTTTGGTTGTCTAAGAAGACCTGTAAAGAAACGAATCACATCTCTTCAAGACAACTACAAACTCAAAAGAGGAAAAACAAAGACATGCAGTGGTACAAATCCTTACCATACTCATCAATTGGTGCATCATAGTCATAGCTAGTAGAGATTAATGGTCCTCCACTTGTTCTTTCAAAGTTTGTTCCACCATGATACTTAACAAGACAAGACCCAAAAACAAAAAAAAACAAGTTTGTCAGTATAGCCTTGTAGAGAAGTAATGAATAGCAACACAAAGTGGCTTCTTGTGTTTATTACCATGTAATAGTTCTGGAAAGTTCCACCTCTTTGGTAAAACCGAGCAACTGCAAACGCAAGATCTTCGACTGGTCTGTAAGGTGAAGGTTCCCCAAAACCAAGGAACCTGGTCGTCAAAATAAACAAGAAACTGAGGAATATGCCAAGTTTGGAGACGAACAGAGAACCAAGAGACTCGCGACTCACCAACCACTCCAGTTCTCAGTCCACATCTTAGGTTTATTGTTTGAGTTAGGAGTAAACTGGTCACAGTAGAAACCATTGCATGTGTTGATCTACCAAGAAAACAAACAAAATAAGCAAGAATGTCTCAATCAAACAACCACAAGAACTTACTACTACATTCAGAAACTCACAATGGGATCAGGAGCATCTCCTTGCTGACACATGTTCCATGGTACACCAGTATCTAGTGAAAGAGCCATAGAAGCAGACCACTTCATATAACTTTTACCCGCAGCACCATAAGCCGAATCAATATTCCCATATTCATTCTCAATCTGACATCCAAATCATGAAAGTAAAAAGATTCCAATGAGCAAGAAATGTTACACTTAGTAAATCAGAAATTTTTTTCACACACAGGACAAACCTGAGAGAGAATGATTGGGCCTCCTTGTGATGCATATAGCTTTTCTTGCTTCATCAAATCAACAATCTTGGCAGTAAATCGCTGCATTTCTGCCTGTAAACACACAAAGCCAAAAACCATCTTTTAACAGCTAAATTCATAAAATTTGCTAGCATACAAATTTTAAATAAAAATAAAAAGGAAACAAATCACCTAACCATACCTTAAATGGTTCATTATCAGTCCGAAACTTAATTCCAGGAACAAAATGTAGCCACACTGGGAAACCACTGTTCCACGAAATCCACCGTTTAAAAAAAAAATCACTACATTTATCAAAAAAAAAAAAAAAACAGAATTTATCAAGAAGAAAACCACATTTTACCCGTAATTCCATTCCGCGCAAGCGTACGGACCAATTCGTAGATGAACATAGAGACCAGCTTTAGCAGCAAGCTTCACAAATTTGACTAAATCGTATCTTCCTTCAAAATTATACTGCCAAAACAAAAATTCCACCAAAAAAAATATATATATATTCCCACAATCAGAGAAAAAGGATTAATTTTGAGAAGTAAATTTACTAATTAATCGTGTGGTATTAATTTATTATCAACAGCTAACGCCTGAAAACCGGAAAGCGAACCGGTTTATAACTCAAAATCAAAAATAGAACCGAACCTGATTTTTGTCCGGCTCGTGACCATTCCAGAAAACGTACGTCTCTATAATGTCCAAGCCACCGTCCTTAGATTTCTGTATCAGGTCTGGCCACATCTGTCCAAAAAAAAAAAAAAAAATCCCAAAAAAAAATTCTTAAAATATATACAAACAATACATACAGAACCGTATGTATAGATGCGTAACAGTGAAGTATTTTCTTACCTCAGGAGTACTACGAGGATAGTGAATGGAGCCAGAGATCAGAATCCTCCTCTTCCCGTCGATTACAAGAGCACGGTGGTCGTAAGTCACATTCGCCGCCATCGCCGCCGCCACTAACTGAACAAGAAGAATAAGCAGAATCGTCTCCATCTTCCTTCCTCTAACCATTTTCTCCGCAATTTCCATCATTTAATTTCTCGAGATCGGTTTAAGTTTTTGCTTTTATTTCCAAAAATCAATCTATATATAATATATATAATCACGAATTTACTTTTTTTTATCTTCTTTGCTTCAGCTTCTGAATCACCAGTTGCTTCGCCGTTTTGTGTTTACTGCAATGGCGTTACGCTCAGATGATTAAAGTAGCTATGCGTGTACGTGTTGCAACATCGTCGTCGTCGTCGTTTGATTTTTCCCCGATTTTCTTAAGGAGCGATTAGTGAGAGATTAATTAGCACTAAGATTTTTGTAGAGTGAAGAAGACGCGCGTATAGTAGCCGAGACACGAAGCAAGTATATATAAAGGCGTTAAATGGGAGAGAGATGGCTAGTAATCGGTGTTTCTCAGAATTTATTTGTTACAATGGACCCGCGATTTTATTATTAGTTTTTGATAGGAGGAGACACGTGGTGGTTTTAATGGTTGGGAAAGCTACGGGAGGGCGAAGAAATTTGTAACTACGACTTACGAGGTCATGCCCGTTTTTGGATAATTTAAAGGTTTAATTTATTGAGATGACAATGAGGTCTAAGTTTATTGATAATTTTAAAATGTTACTACAAATCAGATTAACACTTAAGAGATTTAGTGTAATTAAGAATGAACTAGATTTTAACCCGTGTGTCCACACGAGAATATTTTATTTTTTATTTCTAATATAAGTTGCATTTATCTTTTTTTGTTTAGATATAATTTATTTTTGTTATTTATTTTTTAAAATTAAAAAATTGTTATCATATTTAATTTTAAACAGTAAAATTTGTATATTAGTGAATAAGAGTATATGTTAATTAAGTATATATTGATCTAATGTTAATTATAAACTTTGTTATTATATGAATTTAGATTTACACATAAACAATCTATATATCTATGAATTTGCTAATCCATCCGTTTAGTTGTCTTAAATCATTTTTAATATCTTACATGTTTTGACAAATTAACCCGTATAACACTATAATTATAATTCTATAACTCTATAAATATTTACTAATATGGAATATTTGGATCAATTGATTATGAAAAAATATAATAAGATATTTATTTACTATTTTAGCTATTAAAAAATATATATATATATATATAAACGGGCTAACCTGTTAGTTTAATTATCTCAAATCATCTTAATATCTTACATGTTTTAATAAATTAACTCATGAACCTTAAATATATATATATATAACTCTAATCAGTTCGATCATATTATTGTATAATATAAATATTTATTAATCTCAAATATTTGATATTTTAGACTGATTGTTTATGATAAAATATGATAAAATATTTATTTACTATGCATTTTTATAAAAATATTATTTAAATTTAAAATTTTAAATTAAATCTTTCCTGTATTTAAGAAATTCTAAAATATTAAAATTATTATCTAAATTTTTGTAATAAAATTTAATTATAATTTTTTTTTGAATTTTTTGAATTTAAATTAAATTGAATGCAAAATTTTGTAACTAAATTTAATTAAATTTCTAATAATTTGAAATTTAAATTAAAGATGACCTAGATTTTAGGAAATCTAAAAATATATAAATTAATAACTAATTTTCGGAAATTAAATATAAAAATAAAATAAAATATTATTAAAAAAAACTTTAGGAGTGTTTGGATGCAAGCACTAAATGTGCTTTTGTTTTAATAGAATAGATTATTGTCACCATTTTGAATTCTGTCTTGTAGAAGGGAATTGCTAACTTAACTCAATAATTAACCCAATACCTGATGATTTAATTCAGAGGTTGAGTACTTTTTAAATTCTTATGTATTTTAAACTTTTTTTGCTAATTATATTTTAATCACTCCAATACTGCTTAAAAAATCATTTCAATAATTCTAACGAGATATTTTGTTAATTATTCTTGTATCAAAGATTTTTATCTAAACAAGTTTTTCTTATTATCTTAACTATTATTATTATTATTATTATTATTATTTTAACTTTTAAAATGTAGGTTGTTATTTTTTCTATCTTTAAGTCAGTAGGATTATTATATTTAATCTATTTTTTAACATCTATTTTTATTTATCTAAAATTTAAATTACATAAAATATAAAAATTACAATACAATACAACAACGGAAATGAATGTGACCATTTTTTTCTACAAATTTTGCTTACAATTAGAATATACACTCTTCTTTCCTTCTAATCCCATTTGGTTTTTGGCCATTGTCCATTGTTTACTTTCTTGTATTACATTGACACATTCCCAATTAAAATTTAAAAATATTTTTAAAACAAGAACTCAATTTACTGATTTGTTCGACAAAAAAAGATATTGGGGTTGCTAATTTATTTAATCTATTTTATTATATATTAAATTTGTGAAAAATGGATAAACACCATCTCATAAAATTTTGTCAATGAATTATATAGGCTTATAGTGTGTGGCGTTACGTCTGACGAGATAACCTCAAACCAATCACCAATGATGATGAGTAGATAAGTGGTGGTTCCAACGACTTAAAGAGACTGTGGTGGTGCACACACTGCGTCATAAGTCAGACCACGACGTCACCCACTGGAACCTATTCTCTCATTGAAAAATAATACTCTCTCTGTTCATCGAAAATCGACTTTCAACACGTTAATGATTTATATATCTGTCGGTGTCTACTAATAAGGGTACTAATATTATTTGTCGTTTTTAATTCCTTTTGGTTAATAATGCAAATGCTGGTGTCTAATTATTAGTGTTATAATCGGTCGTTTATATTCTTACTTAGGCATTACGTGGTGGTCGGACATCTCAATCTATGTTACACAATGGTTTACACGTTTTTTTTTTTAAAATAATCCGAACGTTTACTAATATCTACTACACAGCCTATGCAAATCTATGGCAGATTCTAGGCAGTACATAATTAGAAAATACAAAAAATTAGTCTAAATAAAATTCAGTTTAGTTCCTAACTTCCTATATTTTTAAAATATTATTCATTGTGCAAAATAAGTCTAGACTTACACTCGATTCATTACCATTGAAATTTCTAATTTTTAAATTACTAATACATGCACCTGCACGTACCCACAAAAGTGGTTAGATAAGCAATAAAAACAGGATTGGCATATTTTGTTGGTCATCCATTAGGATTTTCTGTTACCAACCAAACGAATCAGGATTTATTAACCCCAAAAAAGAGAAGAAAAGGATTTTTTTTTTCATTAAAAATTAAAGAAAAAAAAAAGACGAATATAAAAAAGAGAGTATAATAAAATGGAGAGCGTTGGGGATGATTGTCGTTGTCTCAACTAATAAGCCAACAGCAACATCAACATGTGACGCTCGTTTCCATGAATCGTCCGTGTTTGGTACTATTTATTAACCTCTCTCTCATCATTATTCCATTCACTCACAAAATCATTCCTCCTTTTTTAATTTTTCTACACTTTTTTTTTTTAATTTTAATTTTTGTTTCTGTTAATTCTTTTATTTAATTACCATGTCAATCGTATGAAAATTATTTACCTAATCAATGCTGTGATCACATAAGTTCTGTGAGGTTTGAATCCGTTCTTATAGTAATAATTTTAAACATTTAGAAAAAAATGATTTAACTCTTTATCAGTGTAAGGAATAGAATCCATTCATATATGTACTGAAAACTTTGATACCTTTTTTCAACCTTAAGGGAAAGACCCGGTTAACCAAATCGATGCCTCAAAACCACTGCCCAATGGTCAAACAATCGGTCTTGGAGTTTGATAACTTTTGGGCTTATACCCATTTTATATTAGGAGTCATCACATGCCATCTCTTAACAACACGTTAGTGTTTTATTACCAGTCCTATAAACCAAAGTCACTACTACAAGTCCAATTCCCAACCAGTTTCGGTTTCAGACAACTCTTCCTTTGCAGAAAGAAGAAGAAAGACCATTATCTAAATTCATAGAGCTCTTTTCATTTTCATCTTCATCTTCAGAATCAGCTTCAGTGTCTGAACAACTCAGATGAAGCTCATTCCAACGGTGATTGCGTGATTCTGCTGGAGAATCATTCAAGATCGAAAGAGGGTTTCTGTTACTCGGGTCATCGTAAAGAGCAACATGCCTGTAATATAGTTCAAGTTCCTTCTCTGATATCGCTATAAAATGTCTCACCGACTCAAGAGATTGTTCGTACTTTGATTTTTCATATGCCTGCAAAAGAAACAAGACCATGATTAAGAAACTTAGCAAACGAACATATACCCCTAACAAACAAGAGTAGACTTTAGAAGTGTTACATACGTCTCTAATACCCAAAACCAATCCTGTTTCAACAATGGTGAAGTTTCGAAATGCACAAACCGTAGATGCAATGTTAAGCACGTAAAGGCTATACCTCTCATTCATGTACAATAAGATGCCAAAACTAATAACAATTTTGAGGACTTACCCTTTTCTTCGACAATGTATCGATTGGAGACATAACTTGCGGCTGAACATAACCCTTCCCTCTATAAAATATGATTGTATCATCGCCGATTATGTTAACAGGCACACCACCACTCAGTTTAGCAAGCTCCTCTGCGTACTGTTGCACCTGGCCTGGCTTACTATTATTGCAAATAACCTTAACGGTTTCATGCTTTTTCCAATGTAGATGCATGTTGAGAATAACACCACCAAACACTCCTCTTCTCCCAATCGGTACATAGTTAGATCTTTTCTGACCCATTTTCTTTAAGTAGAAACGTTCTTCCCCTGTAATCTCATGTGGTTGAACCTCAGGCCCCTGCACTTTAGCAACTTCATACCGTTTGAGTTTCTCAATCAGCAATGCTTCTTTGATCTTGGCCTGATACAAGAACATCACCAAACAAATACACATCGAGTAGAAACTCAATACATCAAATGAAATTAGACTTTCTTTTGTTGTAAGTGTCACAGACCTTTTCAAGCTTGTGTTTTAGTCTTTCCTCTGGATTAGCAAACTTTCTCTTCTTCCCTTTGACGGTAAGTCGACGTGGGTCTTTCCTGTTGGCTGCGTTCCTTTCCTCTCTTACTTTCTTTCTTTTCAACTTGAGCCTCTTCTTGGTCAACCACTTCCATTTCTTGGGAGGATCAAGTTCCCGAGTTTCAAACTTGGGTTTCCCTTCTGATATCACTAGGTTCACAGTTCCATGGCTAAAGTTCCTCCTACATATCGGCCTTGAAATCGTTGAGATGGTCGATGCTAAATACGAAAGCTCTTGGCTTTGCGTAAGCAACCTAGTGGGAAACAAAGAGTAATAATCACATTTCTGGATACAAACATACTACTAACTATGTTGTGATGGTCTCAGATATACAAACCTGGAAGAAATGAGAAGTGGATATGAAGTTCTAAGAAGAGATGAAGCTCTTTGAAACCCACGAATAAAAGCAATTGCCATCAAGAGTGTGATAACCTCTTTAATTCAATGCAAATCGTCTCAAGAATCGAGTGTTTCATATAACCTGCTTAAGAAGATCCAACAATTTAGCCAAAAAAATATCCTTTATAACCATAAGATACTGAAATCCACTGAGAAACTGCTTGTTCTAATCGTCAAAATCGAAAGAAAAAAATGTGATATTATACTTCAAAATTGGGACTAAACTGCATTGGCCCTTGTATCGCTAGCCACAAATACAAACAAAGAACATTGCTCTTAGGGGTTAGAATAGAGGAAGAACAAAAATTAGAATCATAGTGGAAGACAAAGTTCGAAGAAACATTTTATCGAACATGTGGTGAACAATCCAAGCAAGAACAAAACAGTTACCATATTGGCTTCAATAATTACTTTGAGAATTAAAAAAAAAAAAGAAGAAGATGGCTTCTAAAACTGAGATTAGATTAGAGATCGTAATCCAAATAGAGGAAAAAGGGATTTGACTCACGACCAAGGTGGTTACTACGGCGAGACAACGATATAGAAGTTGCGGTGTTTGTGGCCGGCGTTGAAGAGGAGAAAACTTGGAGATGCCGTCAAATGAAAAGACTATAATACCCTTATATATATTTTTTGTTAAGACTTAAGACTGAATAATATTTTATTAATGATTTTCTTTGGCTGTGTTGATTAAAATTGTGAACGTATGTTTGTAATGAAAAACTATGAAATAATGTTTGTACTACTGGTACAACTAATGTTTGTAATACTGGGTTTTTAGTGTTTGTAATGCTGGTATGCTGGTTACTACTGGTACAAGTATGAAATAATGTTTATAATGCTGGTTTCTTAGTTTGACTTTGATTCCTGAACTATCATAATTCGTTGCTTTGTCTTGAAATTCCTTTTTTTAGCTGAACGTGTTTTGCAATAATAGTTCGTTGCTTTTTATTTTTACAGGACATCAAGTCTATTTTGGTACCTAAGATTGATGAGCGTCATCTGGTGGCAGAAGTCAAAGAACCCGAAACATATCATCCCACCATCAACAACTGGAAACATGTTTTGACGGAACAACAAAAGAAAAGTTGCTGGGATCATCTCTACGAAAAAGATCAATCCAACCGGGCTGTTGAAGTCAAAAAGAACACAAGAAAAAGAAAACTGGATAATTTAGAGACAAACCTGGATGTGGGAGATGATGGAATTCAAAGAAAATTCCACAGAGTAGGAAAAGCCATTTGTGACATGAGAGTAGAAATAGAAGCTTTGAAAGGACAGTCTCGTGATGAGCCACAACATCGTGATGAGCCACAGCATCGTGATGAGTCACAGCCTCCATATTCCCCTTTTCAGTCTCGTGATCCGGCACGTTGTAGTGATGAGTTACAGCCCCATGAAAACCCTTTTCAGCCTCGTGATGAGCCACAGTCTCAATATCAAAACGAAGAAGAGGAAGAAGAGGATTCTGGTGGAAAAGGATCAGAAGATGAGCTACAGCGTCGTGATGAGTCACAGCCTCAATCTTCTCCTTTTCAGCCTCCTGATGAGCCACAGTCTCAATATCAAAACGAAGAAGAGTTTGAGTTCAACACTACTATGAATTGGTTTGAGTTTTTACCTAAAACAGATTCAAATTTAATGATAAAATAAGAGTAAAAAATGGTTTTATTTGGTAATTGATGCGATGACAAAAATACACAAGAAATAAAGTTGAAATGACGTGTGCAGGTGGGAAGCGCCCGAAGCTTTTATTCTCCCTCTCTTGAGTCTGTCACTTCCTCTTTCCCTCACACTCTTTCAACTCTCTCTCTTAAAGTTGAAGGTTTCTCTGTCGTTTCTTCAAAAATGAAGAAAAAATTCTCCATTTTGTAAGAATCAGAGTAGCTCCGTAAGGTAAATGTATCATTATCACTCTGAGTAAAGAAAAAACACGATTTTGATGTTTTCACATAGTTTTTGTTCTGGGTTTTGATGTTTTCATGCTTTAAAACTTCTCAAAGACAAAACAAATCGCTAACACAGTTCTCGAAATCGTTGAGAATCGAAACTTTATCAGGACTGTAATTACAAATACTTGGCACTAATAAGGTTTCAGATATTTGCTTTCTTCTTCTTCTTCGCTCTCACATCTTCTTCTTTCGTTTGTCAGATTCTGTGTCCTGAGCTTTTGCTGGGTTTTTCGAAGAGAAATCAGTCACAAACTCACTGTATTGTTCTCACTCTCTCTCTCTCTTGTTGCTGGGTTTATGGGTCTGTACGATTAACATGATGATTAAGGATTATAGTTTTGAACCAATAACCCTACTTGCGGAACGGCGTGTTTTGTATGCATTTTAGATTTTATTTTTTGTTTAAAACGCCTTATTAAAACATTTCTTAAAACCTTTTTAGGTCAAATTTATTTCTCTATTTTTTTTTCCCTTTTCTTGGAGACGATATGCGATCTCGGAGACGATCGACGATGTCGGAGGCGATGGATGACGATATTCCTTCTAGTGATTCGAGCGTGTATGGTGAAGGCGGGGCCAATTCTACTGATTCCGGTGAAGGCTACATCGCTGATTGCTCGGAAGGAGCCAATTCTGCTGATTCCGGTAATACCTATATGACCAATGGAGAGGGTGATTTCGGTGATATCTCTATGACCAATGGAGAATGCGATGCTGGTGACTACAGTCCTACACCCTATTATGTATACAATCTTCAAACAGAGTCACAGAACTTGCCAGGTTAGATCTGCTCTTGTTTGTTTCATATAGAAATTTAGATATAGAATTAGCTCTTGTTTGTTTCATATAGAACTTTAGATGAAAATCTGAACCGAAATATTGGCTTTAGAGGAATTTCTGAGTTAGCTCAAGATGTAGATGAATAGAATTGGATTAAAACATTGCAAATCAGTTGTGCTTGTCTTTATTTGATTAATCCATTTCGAATCAAACATGCGTTCCCAGTTTTAGTCTAGTTATACCAGTAGTACAAACATTATTTTATAGTTTTTCTCTAGTTGTACCAGTATTACAAACATACGTTCACAGTTTTACTCTAGTTGTTCACAGTTTTACGTTAGTTGTACCAGTAGTACAAACATTATTTCATAGTTTTTCTCTAGTTGTACCAGTATTACAAACATACGTTCACAGTTTTACTCTAGTTGTTCACAGTTTTACCCTAGTTGTACCAGTAGTACAAACATTATTTCATAGTTTTTCTCTAGTTGTACCAGTATTACAAACATACGTTCACAAGATTGTTTTGGTTTTGTTACGTATATAGCGTTAGAAGAGGTGCTGAACAAATCAAAACTGGAAACATGTTTTCACCGAACAACAAAAGAAAATTTGCTGGGATCATCTCTACGAAAAAGATCAATCCAACCGGGCTGTTGAAGTCAAAAAGAACACAAGAAAAAGAAAACCGGATAATTTAGAGACAAACCTGGAGGTGGGAGAAGATGGAATTCAAAGAAAATTCCACAGAGTAGAAAAAGCCATTTGTGACATGAGAGTAGAAATAGAAGCTTTGAAAGGACAGTCTCGTGATGAGCCACAACATCGTGATGAGTCACAGCCTCCATATTCCCTTTTTCAGTCTCGTGATCCGGCACGTCGTAGTGATGAGTCACAGCCCCATGAAAACCCTTTTCAGCCTCGTGATGAGCCACAGTCTCAATATCAAAACGAAGAAGAGGAAGAAGATGATTCTGGTGGAAAAGGATCAGAAGATGCGCTACAGCGTCGTGATGAGTCACAGCCACAATCTTCTCCTTTTCAGCCTCCTGATGAGCCACAGTCTCAATATCAAAACGAAGAAGAGATCGCAAAGCTTAAGGAGTCCAAGAAGAAGGCAAAGAAGCCACTACCTCCATCTCAAGTGGTAAATGAGCCTTTCAAGTGCAACTTGATCAACCATAATGGAAATAATGATGTTGTTGCAATAGGATGTTGCTATCCAAGCCGTGTATCTCTCCACAATGTACCCTTGAAGCCTGGTGAAGTTGCTGTGACAGTGTTTGAGGTCAAGATAGACATACGTCTCTGGGCACCAGTAGATGATATTGAGATGCTAAGAAATGCAATTGGCGCATTCATTGTCTGGTCAAAGGAAATGGTAGTACATTATAAGGAGGAGAAATCAGAGGAGCAAATTGAGAGGAATTCTAACACAGAACAGCAATCAAAGAATGCGTCAAAGAAGGATGATGCTAATGAGAGAATTAGTAACAGAGAGGAGGAGAAATCAGATGAGCAAATTGAGAAGAATGCTAGTGAGATTGCGTCAAAGAAGGATGATGCTAATGAGAGAGTTAATAACAGAGAGGAGGAGAAATCAGAGGAGCAAATTGAGAGGAATTCTAACACAGAACAGCAATCAAAGGAGCTACAGCGGGAACGGACGGGAACTGACGAGAACGGACGGGAACTGACGGGAACGGACGAGGAAAAAGAGCGGGAACAGACGGGTTCTGGTGGAAATAGATCAGAAGATGTGCCGGTTGTGAAAAAGCTATTTGTCTATGTGAGAAAGAGGATGAAACATAGTAAAGGGAAATCCATATATGGACGCCAATATGTGAGACCAGATTTTTTCAAGCCGGCCGCACCCAGGACACGAAATCCACCCAGGACAGGAAATCCAGGGAAATCCAGATATGGACGCCAATATGTGAGACCAGATAAATTTACGCCGGCCGCATATAAGTAAATGATTCAGGTACGATGTAGCAATTTAAGGATAATCAGTTGAATATATTTTCTGGTAGAATGGATATCAAGATCAGTCATTGTCCTTTGGAGTTTGCTAAGGAGTTGATCCTTCTACTTCTCTCTTTTTCAAAACTCTCAAGCGTAGATTTTCCGCTTCTAGATTCCTGACTTGCTAATACATAGAATCTTATAGAGGAATAAGAATTGGATTATGTACCTTGTGTTATCTTGGAGAAGTCTTATCTTTGGTGAGCTTACATTGAATTTTTGACTTGTCTTGTGTATTACATTAAGTATTAATATTGTATTTAGTTAATCTTCTGTTAATGATTTTCTAACTACGCGCAGGCTGTGTATGGTGATGGTGTTGTTTTTTAAGAGTCTTGAAGTTTGCAACAATCTTGTCTGATGCTTGTTTGTTTCCGACCCTTGACATGTTGAAGAAGTTGGCACTTTCTCCTCGAGCTTCAACCACATGCCAACTTATCTTTCATTGAGGATCTATAGTTCTTTTAATGTCCTACTCTAGCTTTGTGTTCAAACTATTGTCGTTAGTTTTATCATCTGGAGATACATATTATGTGCTTTACTTGGAACATAATTTTTTGGAAACCAAATACGTTCACATTTTGCCATAAACCAAATACTAAATCGAGTTTGGAAACCAAATACGTTCACTAGTAGATTAAATACGTTCACATTTTGCCATAAAAAGATAAAAAGATTGATAATCCTAATTGATTGGTGCTGCTGGGTTCTTCTTACTCCTCTTTGTCTTCCCGGCATCGTAGGGAGTTATTACTGCTGCTGCTGGCCTCTTAATCCTCTTCCCCTCTGTCTCTGTCTCCTTCTCCTTCTTCTTTGTCTCCTTCTCCTTTGCCTTCATAGTCTCCTTCTCCTTTGCCTCCTTCTCCTTTGCCTTTGCCTCCTTTGCCTCCTTCTCCTTTGCCTTTGCCTCCTCTGCCTCCTTCTCCTTTGCCTTTGCCTCCTCTGCCTCCTTCTCCTCTCTCTCATTCTACTTCTCATCTGCCTCCTTTTCCTTCTCTGTCCCCTTATCCTTCTCCTTTTCTGTCTCTTTCTCTGGCTCCGTCTCTGGCTCTTTGTCTGTCTCCTATGCCTCTGTTGTCTTCTTACCTTCGGCCTGTGTCTCCATCTCCTTTGCTTTTGCCTCATTCTCTTTTGCCTTTACCTCCTCTGCCTCCTTCTCCTTTGCCTCCTCCTCTGCCTCCTTCTCCTCTCTCTCCTTCTCCTTCTCCTCTGCCTCCTTCTCCTTCTCTGTCTCCTTCTCCTTTTCCTCTGCCTCCTTCTCTGTCTCCTTCTCTTTCTCCTCTGCCTCATTCTCCTTCTCCTTCTCCTTCTTCTCTGGCTCCTTCTCTTCTTCAGCCTCTGTCTCCATCTCTGTGTCCTTCTCCTCTTCAGCCTCTGTCTCCTCTGTGTCCTTCTCCTTTTCCCCTCCCTCTGTCTCCTTCTCTTTCTCCTTTTCTGTCTCCATCTCTGTCTCCTTCTCTGGCTCCGTCTCTGGCTCTTTCTCTGTCTCCTTTGCCTCTGTTGTCTTCTCACATTCGGCCTGTGTCTCCATCTCCTTTCCACTCTCTGCCTCTTTTTGAGTTTTGGCCTGTGCCTTCTAATTATTAGTATTAGAAGACAGAGGTACACCACCACCATGAGAGCTACCACCCACATTATAAAACCTAGATGGAGAATTATAATCATCACCAGCATAATCAAAGCCTTGAGCTTCCACAAATGGTTCCACACCCATCAACCTTGTTTCATACCCAGAAAACTTACTGTCCACCATTTGAAAACCCTTTTCACATTCGGCCTGTGTCTCCATCTCCTTTCCACTCTCTGCCTCTTTTTGAGTTTTGGCCTGTGCCTCCTTATTATTAGTATTAGAAGACTGAGGTACACCACCACCATGAGAGCTACCACCCACATTATAAAACCTAGATGGAGAATTATAATCATCACCAGCATAATCAAAGCCTTGAGCTTCCACAAATGGTTCCACACCCTTCAACCTTGTTTCATACCCAGAAAACTTATTGTCCACCATTTGAAAACTCGGCCTTGATATGTTGTCTACGAATTAGAGCTAGTTGTATTGCTTTGTATTGCTTTGTATTGTTAGTTGTAAGAGATTATATTCCTTTTTGAAACCAATATTTAGCTTTTCTTAGTGTTATTCTAGTGATTTGTAAATTGAACTATGAAAGTAGAGTAGGATTGGATTTTCATGATTTAGCTGAAAATGAGAAGTTCATTTGATTTTCTTTCTGTTCTGTGCTTATGCAGATTATTAATTAACCAATTAAGCGACGCTCATCATCTCATCTCATCTCATATCTTGTGTTCATTTGCTTGATGTTCTATGCTTATGCAGTTGTTTCAGATGTTCTGATGCTATGATGTGAATCGTATTCTCTTTTTACTACCACAATACCGAAAGTTGAGTAGAAAAGTTAAAAATAATGCTTTTCTTAGGGCTAGCTTCCGAGTCAAACTAATTGTCCTATAGATTTCTTGAATTCATTAATCTCTTGTAAAACAACTTTTGGGTTGGGTTGGTTTAGTTGATGCCATTCTAGTTCTGCCATTCTTAGTATCATCACACTTTCTCTTTGCATCATTAGTGTATCTCTTTTGCTTCCCCAGTCAATTGTGTTTGTTCTTAGTTGTGAGATCTGTTTGATGAAGAAGAGAGGACTGCCTGATCTTATTTGATCTTATTTTGTTTTTGATAGATGAATTTTTGTAGATGTGGTTTGCCTGCAAAGATTGTCACATCGTGGACCGATAACAATCCGGGAAGAAGGTTCTTCGATTGTCCGTTGTATAAAGGTATTCGTAGAGTCGATTGCTTTTACAATCCGAGACTGTGATGGCTTCTTGATACATTTGTATTATTTGTGTCATTAGAAGGGTAGGACTGATCACTGCGACTATTTTGACTGGTTCGATGAAGGAGTGGTGGATGGATGGCCAAAAGAAGCATTGATTCAAGCTCGAGATGAAATTCGTGAGAAAGGTAAAGTCATCAATCAACTAACTACCCAATTAATGGCACTTCGTTTGGAATTGGAGAAGCATAAAGTGGAGATCTCATCGGAAGGTAGTGAGGATTAGAACAATTATGTGGAATCCGACCATAAGGTTGGATGGATGCAAAAGATTTTGGGAAAGATGTCTATCTCCAATGCATAAAAGCAAGTGTGAAATGCATTTGTTATGTCTATCTCCAATGCATAAGCAGGCGTAAAATGCATTGGTTTAGTTTGTGCTTTTTCACATTTTAAATTTGTATTCCTCTTATGTTAGACAAAACTTAATTTAGTTTGTGCTTTTTCACATTTTAGAGATGTCTTTCTAAAGATTATTGAGGTGACAACAATAACGTAACAGTTAAAAAATAATAATGGACCGCGCCGACTCAAGAGATGAAAGATAAACTTACCATATCAAGTTTTTTCTTTCTTACGTATGTTTGTAATACTGGTACAATTAGAGAAAAACTATAAAATAATGTTTGTACTACTGGTATAACTAGACTAAAACTGGGAACGCATGTTTGATTCGAAATGGATTAATCAAATAAAGACAAGCACAACTGATTTGCAATGTTTTAATCCAATAAAAACAAACAAAAGACAACAAGTAAACCAAACAACCAAAACTAGTTTAACAAACGAAACAAGTACTCGGTCAACAAAGATTCGACTGCGGCGGAGGAAGTTTCTATTGTTATGTCGTTTATAAATAAATAAAAAAAAAATATATATATCATGAAAATTTTATATTATTTTGTAAACATAATCAAAATAAATCATGAAAGTTTCACTGTTCAATTGCATTTTTATAAGCTTATCATGGCGCAAAAAATGTATTGTTTTTGTTTTTAGAATTTTAATTAAATAATTAATTAATTAACCATTTAAAAGCAATGCATAACTGTGATGGGTGATAATAAAATGGTAAAAATGTTTATTAGTAGAAAGAAAGCGATAAATAAATTAAGTAAATGACAGTAAGACAAAGTTAACATTTTTAATATTCTGATTTTACTTTAACTGTTACGAAAAACCACTATCGTAATTGTAAATTGAATAAAAGAAAACTTAAATTTAAAAATTTGCTACTGTTTTATTAAGCTTAAGAAAATATTATTTGTTACACCCTTTAACACATTTGGATTTCGAATACATACCAAAACAATTATATTGTGTTATATCATTGTTTCTAGGAATTTTAACTTATTATAGAAATTGTAGTATATTTATATAAATATCGGTCTAAGTAGATTCACTTGTATCCAACTGTTTTTCAATTTCTCCAATTGTAAAACTAAATTTCTCAAAAAGCAATTAAGATCAAAATTATATCTGTTGTGGGTAAACAACACTATAACACCCACAACACTATAATCCGATGAAAATATATTCTGTTTTTCATCGGATTGATGATGGTAATAATATTCAGCGTTTAAAAACAAAATACTTCGATAGAAAAAAATGTTTAAAATACTAACAATAATTCAAATCATAAAATTAAAAAAATACTAATTCATGAACCTTGACTGATTTTTTTTTTTGGTTCAACACTACTATAAATTGGTTTGAGTTTTTACCTAAAACATATTCAAATTTAATGATAAAATAAGAGTAAAAAATGGTTTTATTTGGTAATTGATGTGATGACACAAATACACAAGAAATAAAGTTGAAATGACGTGTGCAGGTGGGAAGCGCCCGAAGCTTTTATTCTCCCTCTCTTGAGTCTGTCACTTCCTTTTTCCCTCACACTCTTTCAACTCTCTCTCTCTTAAAGTTGAAGGTTTCTCTGTCGTTTCTTCAAAAATGAAGAAAAAATTCTCCATTTTTTAAGAATCAGAGTAGCTCCGTAAGGTAAATGTATCATTATCACTCTGAGTAAAGAAAAACACGATTTTGATGTTTTCACATAGTTTTTGTTCTGGGTTTTGATGTTTTCATGCTTGAA